CGTACATGCAGAGTTGGGCCTCTTAGACACACACACACACACGCACACGCACACACCACACACATACATGTTCACCCAACCCGCCCAACCCCACACCCGTCCCTTACATCCGTTCTTGTCCAAGCGCGATGACACGCCTCACGTCAGCAACTGGCCTGCCTTGTTAAGCATCCACATCATGACGGGCTGTTTGCCCACCAATGATAGTTCAGGACCACAGAAATGCAAACAACACTGTCTGCGTACCGAAATCTAGCCGGCATCAAATCCGAAAAGGTCATCAAAAATGCCATCATCGAATCGGGCTCAAAGTAGTCATCTAAAGCGCCTGGATCGGGTCGTGGACCGGGCTCCGCAGGAGCGGGCACTAGTGGCTGCCGTGCCGTCGGGGCCGGGGAAGAGATCGGACGATGTGGCTACGGGACTGACGCACACCTCACCCAGGGGATACCCTGAACCCACCAACCATACCGACACCTCCTGAACACGGCCACACACACAGAGACAGATGGGAAAAGGGGATGGGGTTGGCTAGCTAGTTGGCTGACCACGTCTGCGTCTTGATCAGTGACTGGGAAGATGGCGATGGGCAGCTCCTCATCGATTAGCGGCACGATGGCTAAATCCTCATCCACGTTGGGATCGTCATCGCTCTCAGTCGCTCTCAGCATCGCTGCCGCCCACAATGAAGCTGCATTCGTGTGTGCATGACCCGACGCACAATCAAATGAGTCTCGCGCTATCCGCTAGCCCCGGCCCGACTGCTGCTCTTCCTTCTTACTCATCGATGAAATCAGCGTCGCCTGTAGACTGCTAGCAGCGACAACAATAGCCCCAGCGCGCTCTGCACCAACCAGCATGCAGACGTCCAACCAGTGACTGACCAGTGAAGGACAATTCGCCCTTTGTGCGTCCCACCAGCCCGATGGCGATTGTCCGCACGCCGTTGGCAGGAATCACCTCACATTCGTCAATCACCTCACATTCGTCCCCTTCGTCCTCGCCAGCTGCAATCACACCAACCCAGACGTCGGTGTGACTCGCGCACCTGGTGGAAAGAGCAGCCTGGACAGGTCTGGCGCTCCCTGAAACGAACAGGCACTCAGAGAGCATGTTCAACATTGCGTTGAGCGTCTGTGTCAGCGTGTGTGTCAGCGTGCGGACGTGTGTGAGCGAGCTCAAACTTACCCAGGCCCGCCTCTGCGAACACGCTGTCTGGCTTCCTCCTGCCGCTCTCCCGAGCCGCCTGGATTGCCCGAAGGATATCATTGATTTGGGGCTGACCTTGGCAGATGCCTCGCTGGCCTGTTCACGCGCACCATGCCTACTTATCGGCGAAGTAAACACGTATGTACGAAGGTCGTTCAGGCGTCGAATCGTGCCTTGACCATTCGTGGCTGCAGAGATCGACAAACAGGCAGACAAACGGGCAGGGAGAGCCAAGAGGGTGTTGTGGTGTTGGGGATGGATGGATGGATGTGTGTGTGTGGTACCTGCTGCCCGTTGCTTTACGCCAACGATGGCCGTCGACGTGTGGTCTGCATGGGAGAGATCGACACATTGTCGATTAAGTGCGTCCTTATGGACTCCTCACAAGTTTACAACGTACAGGCCAACGGTTTCCGGCCCTCTGTCGGTCATTTCTCGGTTATTTATTCTTCAAATACCTCTTCCCCTCCCTCTTCTGCTTCCCTGTCGCTGGTGGGGCACTCCCCTTTGTCTGCCCAGCATCGTCACCACGATGAGGACCCTCTTCGCCCTTGCCCTTGTAGGCCTGCTCGCCTTGGCGGCAGCACAGGAAGTGCCTCGCGCCGGCGTGCCTGCACGTCGGCTCCAGTATGGTCCAGCTCCAGCCGATCCGCCAGAGACGCCGCCAGAGATGCCTCCTTACGTTGTGCCTCCTTACCCCCCATTCTTCGATACGCCGCCAGAGGCGCCGCCAGCTGAGGAGCCGCCAGTTGTGGAGCCGCCAGCTGTGGAGCCGCCAGCTGTGGAGCCGCCAGCTGTGGAGCCGCCAGTTGAGCAGCCGCCAGTTGACGACGGCACTGACGGTGGTGACGACGACATGCCCGACGACGACGATGATGACGATGATGACGACGACGATGATGACGATGATGACGACGACGACGATGACGACGATGATGATGACGACATTCCCGACAACGGCCCTGCTGACGACGACAGCTCGGCTGACGACGACGGCCCATGGCTTCTGCTGGCGGAGACCTTTGGAGGACTTTGGCGCCTGTGACTGACTGATAAGTGAATGGCTTCTTTCTTCGCTATGTTGAGCGAGCGAGCGAAGAGGGCTGGACTGCATGTACGTTATGTGGAATGGTACATACTCACGTGTGTGTATTTGTATTTGGCGCTGCGTTGGTCCATTTGGGGGATTTGTGAGTGCTGAGACAAAGGTTGTCAGATTCTTTTTGTTGTCGCGTGCCCGGGAGGACCGCGTGCGTGTCGTTCGCTGCGTGTCGTGACCGACTTCCTGACACACATGATCCCTTTACCAGTACGATGCACACACAGTCCACATAAACTTCGCATCAGCAGCAGCCAACGCATCGCGACTTTCCCTTTCAGTCAGCTCATCTCAGGTCATATCAGGTCTTGCCAGCTGAGGCCATGATCCAGTGCAAGTGTGCCCTCAGCTGCCTGGCGGCCGGGTACGTCATGTCTCGCGGAACACCCACACGCAGCCTGCACACACACACACACACATGGTCACGCAAGCACACAGATGTGATCCGACCGACACACCTAAGATACTGCAGAGCCTCGTTGACGGGCGGCGAAAGGTCCGACAAGCCACGCTGCTCTGTACAGACACACACATCCAGCCACATCGACATGTGTCTGCCTGCACGTGTGTGTGCTTGTGTGTTGTGTATTGCCGACTGACTAACTTACGAGCAGCGTCGGTGCCTTCCAGCAGTGCGTGGCAGACGTGGCGCAGCGCACAGTCCACCTGCTGCGTCCAGTCCTCGTTGCTCTGGGCGTTCGGATCGGCCAGCGGGGCGCTCACAGGGGGAAAGCCGCCGCTGCCCAGCCCCCGGCTCGCGAACTTGGTGACGGCCGCGTGGTTGGCAAGCAGCCGAGAGGCCGCCTCTCGACTGATCCAGCGGACAGACCAGCGGACAGACAGACAGACAGACAGACAGACATTCGCTCACACATTGATTGCATGGGAGAAGGAAGGCTTCCTTCCCTACCTACCTGGCCTGTTTCTCGTTGTAGTCTTTGGGCAGTGGCTCAATCATCTGTGTGTCTTGCTGCTTCAGGGGCCAGTCCCACGCGCCGTTCTGGCCGTCGATGGTCGCACGGAAAGGGGCACCTGCCATGCACACCAACGCGTCCGTCCACGAAAGAAAGAATGCCTGCCTGCCATGCGTGTGTGCAGGGAGGTAGTACCTTCCAGCAGCTTGCCGCAGGGGCCTGTGTGTGGGTGGATGGAGCACACGAAACGTTCACAGACAACACATCCGTCCATGTGTCGAGTTCCTTTGCTCCGCTCCTTCCGTTGCGTACCGACTTGTGGAGGCAGATCCTGACAGTGGGTGTAGTCTGTGTGATGGACACACATCAGGTGCACACACACATAGCTCTACAGAGCACTTTCACAGAGCCAGTGGACTGACTCACAGTCGCTCTTGATGTATTTGAATGTCGGTCTGCTCTCCATGGCGTCGAACCATCGCTCCACATTCGGCCACCGGCCCTCGCCCCGCACCACCAAGCCCTTGAAGTAGGGCAGCGACGCCGCCATCCGCTGACACATAGACACAAGCACACGTGCATGCCTTCTCTCTCTCTCTCTCTCTGTGTGTGTGTGTGTGTGTATGTGTGTGCGCACCGCACCTCCAGGAAGCTGGTATACATGAGATCGACGAGTGATATGTCGTCGCCGAGGAAGTAGGGGCCGTCGTCGAACTGATCGAGCGCCTTGTCCACACTACACACACACACACACACATGGCAGGCAGCCGTGTAAGTTCGCCGTCTCACGACTGACTGACTCCCGGGTGCGCTGCGCACCTGTCCATCGTCTGCACAAATTGCGCCTTCATTCGGTCGCTCGGACCACTACCTGCCGCAGACACACACCACACCCAATCACACACATCAAGAAGCGTACGTATCTCATATATTGGACACTCACTTGTGAGCCAGCCCAGCCATGCGCTGAACAGCTGACGCTCCAGCCGCAGCAACGGACCCACTGACACACAGACACACGCACGGGCGCACGCACACATATTGGAAAAGAAAGTCGATACGAATCCTGTGTGAGCACACACACCTGCGCTTGATTTCTCTGTGCCCGGTTTGGGCAGCAGGGGCTTGTGGTCGGGGAAGCGCTCCTCAATCGCCTGCATGATGTCGTTGGACTCGGTGATGACTTGGCCGTCGATCTTGCACACGGGCAACATCCCTGTGTCCGCACACATAATGCGCGCAGGCTCGCGCACGCAAAGTGCTTCTCCCTGCGTACCTCCTGGACAGATGTCCAAGAACCATCGTGGCTTGGCGCCGTAGCACCTGACGACCCAGCACATGATGATCAGAGTGCCTACACCACACCGCTGACCCGCACCTGAGAGGCACTTTCTCCACCCTGTAAGGGATCTGCTTCTCCTCCAATTGCAGCCACACCTGAATCACCCCATCAATCCATCCACGCACACGTGCGCATCGCATGCACCCCCTGCTCATCTGTGTGTTCTATGTTGGTATGTGTTGAGCGACCTTTTCGCAATAAGGGCACCATGCGGCCGAGTCCCTGTAGAGCGTCACGCGATCGGCCGCCTTCTCGTCGGTCGAGTCGAACAGGCGGATGGACGCCCACGGGGTCGGGTAGGGACCTAAACGAACACACACACACGCACCCATATGCACACATCTCGCTCACACACTGACTGCGTCATTCATCATCACCTCTGCCCTGGTCCCTCATCGCGTTGAAGGCTCTCTCTTCCTGTGTCAACATTGACGACAACTCAGCCCATGAGGGAGCCCTTCACACGACACGACACAACACAGCAGACAGACATTCCCATCTGTGTCTGTGTGTTCTCTCCATGGGTGTGTACTGTACCGGTCATTCTGCAGTGTGGGCGCGTTCGGTGCGCTCTTGCCGAACAGGAGGGAGGAGACCGCCTGCATCGGGCTGCTGCTCGACAGGGAGGTGCGCTGCCCTGGCAAACCCCAAACAGACAAACAGACAGGCAAACATGCGCATCTATGACTGCACGTCATTTTGGCTCCTCAGACAACATGCACAGATTGGCATGAAACACACACAATGAACACACATGGACAGACACACTGTGCGCCTGTCTGTGTGTCTGTCTGCCTGCGGTGCACAGCCCGTCCCGTACCTCTGGTAGATCCGATCTGCTTGGTGCAGGTGTATGTGTAGCCGCACACACCCAGGAACAGCAGGGGCGACGAAAGCAATGCCGCGCGCCGGATAAAGAGCATTGGAGAGGCTCCCACGGGTGCGAGCTCAGAAGTGAAGCAATGGTCCCAAGCAGTCAGCAAATGCGAAGGAGCCGGGAGCACATGGAGAAGAGCGGACTCACTGCGTTGACAGTTCGAAGAGATAGAGCAGCGTATGACATGGAGGTGCGTATGACATTGTACGTGTGTGTGGTTTGCTTGTGTCACTCACGCCGTCTGCTGTGTGTGCTTGTGTGTTTATGCTTGTGCTTGTGCTTGTGTGTGTGCAGGACGACGATGTGTACATGGAGCGGTCCGAATCTGCTCCAACCGGTCGGAATGGTGGCGCTTCATGGAGAGTCTGGAGGTCAGTCAGCCATACAGCGCAGCAGAATTCATATGCACCTTGTACGCTCTTGTGTGTGTGTGTGTGTGGTTTCGTCAGGCCTGTGTATCGGTGTGTGATTGGGTGTATTGGCTTGTTGGGTTTGGGCCTTAGCGTATACCTCACAGTCGGTCATTACAGGCACGTCGGCTGTCTGTCATCAACACGTGCAGTGCGGTGCTGTGCGACCGCCATGCTCTCTCTCTTTGTGTGTGTGTGTGTGCAGGGAAGAAGAGGGCTCATCATGTCCCACAGGGGGATGTAACACAGTGACGACAGGTAGGTAGGTATGTGTGTGTGGATGAACACTCACACCGACTGTGTGTGTACGGGACGGCGGGGGATGCATGTCTGTCTGTCTGTCCCATCCACGACGCGAACACACACAGGTCCCTACTCCCACATCATGTCTGTGCCCCTGTCTTCCCTCGGCGCGCTGGCGTACCTCGTCGTCATTGCGCTCTCACTCGGGGCATTCCCATGTGTGCCGACGGTAGGCGCCCAGGTGCTCGCGGGGGTGTGTGCGTTACGATCTCTGCATGTGGATGCGCGCGTGTGTGTGTGTGTGTGTGGTTTGGTTTCAGGTGTGGCGCGTTCCTCCGAAGAAGGATGTCAACATGACTGGGTGAGTGGTCATGGTATGCATCATCTGCGGTGCACGCCCTGCATGGTCTATACTCGCTGCTCATGCAGCCCTGTGCGTCACCATGTGTACCGCAGGACGGGCGACACCAACGGCAGCGACAGCCGGGCAGAGAGGGTCAACAGGGTGCTCCTGCTGGTCGTCATCGCCAGCATGGCCACCTTCTCGTACGCAATACAAAACAACCGAGCGTACGCGATAGGGCGTCTGCGTCTTTGTGTGATCAGTTCGTATCTGATGCTTCTCATGTATGGGGTCATTCACGAAATTTGCCCCTGGTGATGCAATGCAGCAGACAGACGTGTGTGTGTGACTGAACAAACGAAACGTGCCGTTTGTGTGTGTGGCTGTGCGTGTGGTGTGTGTGCAGGTGCCTCACTTCGGCCGTTTGCTGCTTTTCGATGTTCGTGATTGCGGTGTGCACGAGACTGGTGCCGCAGTACACAAAGGTAGGGAGGAAGGGAGGGACGCGCACACAGACCTACCTACCTACCTACACAGCGCATGCACATACACGTCCTTGTGTGTGCGACAGATGGTGACGATTGTGCTGTCGACAATGCTGGTCATCGCCTTGGGCGCCTGGGGCGTCTACCAGGTCTGTCTCACAGACAGACAGACGAACGAGAATGCACGTCACGTCTATGTGTGTGTGCAGGTCCAGAGGCACCAGGAGAGGGTCGCTCTGGGCCTGCATGGGCCGTCGACCGACGACGCAATGGCGCTGGCTGAACACCTGAGAGACGAGGGTACGCACACGCATTGACACACAAGACTGGATCGATGGACATCTGTGTGTGTGTGTGTGTGTGAAGGGGTGACGATGTACGGCAGCCACTACTGTGGCCATTGCCTGGAACAGAAGGAGGAGTTTGGCAAGGACGCCTTCAAGGTCATCGACTACGTCGAATGCGCGCCGGGTACTTCACTGACTACTTGCCCTGCCCTGCCCACACATAGAGACAGACCTGCGTTGGCACATTTCGTTGCTGAATTGTGTGGCGTCTGCAGACCAAAAGGACAGCCAAAGCAAGAAGTGCCAGGACAAAGGAGTAAGCGGACAACAAACACAAACACGTGTGTCATGCCTCCACCACGTACGTGTCTCTACCTCTCTCTCAGCTGACGGGCCTCCCCGCGTGGGAAATCGACGGCAAGATCTTATACGGCGACAGATCCCTCTCAGAGGTGTGCTCACACTTCCACACACGGCATAGCATACACACGTCTGTCTGCACAACTCACTCTCACCTCCCTTTGTCTCGCCCTTCAACAGCTGGCCCGGCTGACAAAGTTCATCCTGCCCTCTCAACGAGCTGGGCAGATACAGCAGCAGCGGGATGAAAAGCCTGCTGCTGCTGCTGCTCCTGCTGCTGCTGCTCCTGCTGCTGATGCCCCCGCTGCCGCCGCCCCTGCTGCACCAGTATCTCCTGCACAGGCAGAGAGACAAAACCAGGGAGGCCTGTGGGCGGGGGAGCTCATGGACAGAAAGGGGCTTGCAGAGAGGTGAGCAAAGGTGGGTGGATGGCTGTGATTTGACGGCGGTGATGTGATGTGATCTGGTGTGTGTGTGTGTGTGTGTGTGTAGGGTGGCCCTGCAGCTGGCGTCGATAGGCAGCGTGATGTATGGCTCCAACCACTGCGGGCACTGCAAAGACCAAAAGAAGGTGCGCACGTGTGTGTCCGCGTCGTTTCCTGTGGATGGATGGATGGATGGATGGCTGGATGTGTTTGTGGTTGTTTGCGCCTGTCAGGACTTCGGCGAGTCGTTCGAGCACCTCTCGAGGAACGGTGGGTGGGTGGAGTGCAGCACGATGATCAGAGGCCACAATGCCAGCCTCTGCAAGAAGAAACAGGTAACACACCAGTGAGGGGCGTGGCTGGTGCACGGACCTGCTGTTCCACACACAGGTGCGTGTACTCATGCGGGTCTGTCGCCGTGTGTGTGTGTGTGCGGACAGATTCAGTCGTATCCCACGTGGGAGATTTTCGGCAAGTTCTTCAGGGGAAGAAAACCCATGCAGCAGCTGGCGACACTCGGTAGGTAGTACCCACCCCGTGCGCCCGCTGTCCATGTGTGTGTTTTTTTTTGTGCGTGTCAGCCGGTCTGGAAACGATCGACGAGCTGAGAGAAAGAGGTGACGTGACATACAGACCACACACAGCAGCACACACAGAGCGCGGCTGTGCATTCCTCTCGGTG